GGAAAACAATTCCTGAACGGACCGAGGGGCCGAAAAAAAATTCTTGCAAGGAAAAATTTTGAAAAATCTCCACTAAAGCTTTTATTTCTTTACATTTATTTCGGAGTTGACTGTCCTTCTGAGGGACAAAACTGAATCACGGCTCACGTTATAAAAAAAATATTCATACCTCACGGCTATTTCTTTCGCATTTTCACGACTCACGGCTAATAGCCGACRTTAGATATTTTGGTCTGCAATTCTTTTGTGCATGGTACGGTCACTGAACCAAAATATCTAAAGTCGGCTATTTTTCAGCCGTTTCACGGCTCACGGTTAACCSCATTGAGACCCTCTTGTATAATCCATCCATCCCATTGGTTTAAACAAGAAAATCTGCTATAATTTTACAAGTTAGCGAATTTTCTAAATATTTTATTTAATATCTGATTCCGTGGTTTAGTATGCGACACKTTGTCGAAGGCTTTGGAAAAATCKAGTATCACCATATTGGTTTGCTTGCGGGATTCGAGGTTTGAAAGCAGGGATGTGTAGTCAGGTCGAGTATTTGTGTCACGCACGATCTGCCGGACCTAAACCCGRGCTGTAAATTGTACAGGATGTTGTGATCGRCTAAGTGTTTCATTAAGTTCTTGGTAATGATGTGCTKATGCAGCTTGCTGCAGACACAAGTTAGTGAGATGGCCCGATAGTTAACTGCGCAGTCCTTGTCGCCATTTTTATAGACTGGAGTAATGATCGCAGTTTTCCAGTCAGATGGAACTGTGTGTGACTTGATAGATTCTGTGAAGATCACTCTGAGGATAGGTGCAATTTGGTTTGCAAGTTCTTTATTATTAAATTATTAAATTTSACAATGCCCTCTGTGGTGATGGTTATATCAGGCATGCTAGGGTACGCACTGCATGAGTCGCGAGGAAATAAGGCACTATATGCATTGTTTGTAAAGGCGGAGAAGAATGTTGAGTTCAACAGTGACGCTTTGCCAGCAGCATCGGACACAAGGTGCCCAGATTTTTCAATGCCGGTATACCTGTGGAATCACTCTTAGCGTGTTTAAAGGGACACTGCCAAGTTTATGACTCCAAGTTGGCGCGACATAAATCAACAGATCTAGAATATTCCAAAGTGTGTCAAAAGCACCAAAAAATGATTTACCTCGAAGGTTATACTTTCAAAGTCCGTTAGAGGTGAGACTGTTACTGCGCATGTCATCCATATTGACAGTGTCCCTTTAAATAGGGACCAGAAACGTTTGTTGGTACAACAGTTTCCGTCCGAACCWGAGAGACAACTTCTTCAAKATACTCCCAACAGGCAATTCTGAGTTTCCTCTGCACCAGATGCTTTAAGTCGAAGGTTGATATGTAATCAGTGTGAAAACCACTATTCGTATGTATGGAAGTTGCAATGCCGCAGAACAATAGAGAGTTCCCTAGTTCTTAAGCGCATTGTTACTTAACTATTTGTCAATTATGCACGGTTATGCAATTGGCCTAAACGTTAATTAAAACAGAGTTATAAAGCTACAAGTTGGTGTTTTGTCCTGTATCATTCTACGTATACACATAACCAAGAAAGTTCTGCTTTTGTCCATGAGAGATTAAATAACAGGGAAACAAAATACATACGAGAGAGTACATCACAAAAGGGGTCTCTCCCAAAAAAATGAAACTGCGCGCATGTGTTCAGGTCTATTTCCCAGGTGCATGACGGTRAATGGGCGTTATTGTGCATCTGCGTAGCATCGGTTGATTTGCATCTTGCGTGCTCTGTATTGCTTAGGTTCAGGGCAAGATGAGAGAGTACATCACAAAAGGGGTCTCGTCTCTGGCAGAAACATCCAGTCGTCTAAAAGACGCAATTTYTTCACTCGCTGCATCAAAAGGGTCTTAATTCTTTAACCCCCTTTTGTGCTGTCCATTCTCATATACATATTGAAASTTGCAGAAWTTTTTTTGGTTAGGTGTATATAATATTTTGTTCCGTTTATATACTCGTTGTATACAATGCATCTCTATTGATGATTAAATGCTTACAGATTCGATTCTGATTGGCTAATCCAGCCGACATATTCAGATTCGTAATGATCCCATAATTTTAATAATTAATGCAAATAATTTTAGCATTTTCAAAGCTCAATATCGCTTTTGATTGGGCTATAATGCTGCGATCTTAWTAGCRACAAAGAGCTAAATTGCTTGCCATTGGGAAAATTTAGATATTCATGCAATTCAGTTGGACTCACGTCGTTATTGGCAAACACAGGAGGCCCAAAGTTATGAGGTTGAACTGAATCACTCAACACGTGCACGTGGGGCAATCACGTAAACAAATCTTACATAGAAATAATCTATATGAATCATATGCATAGAGATGACCAGATCTTCATCTTGATGCCAACTGTATGTTAACAAAAGAGATGCTTCATATTAAAGACTATTGTTGAGTGTGCAATGATAGAAACCTTCTAAAGGCTAATTTAGACAGCACAACTTTTGTCTTAAACTATTGCATGCAACCTGCATTCATCATCCTTACATCATAGCTACAACTGTTGTAGGGATTTTAAAGAATTGCTTAATAGCTCCATGACAGTGGTAGCCATGTTGTAAGGATGACTTATGCAGGTCYCATGCYATGGTTGTAGGCAAAAGTTGTGCCATCTAATTTAGCCTTAACATGCTTAGAGGGAATRATTRACATGAATCTATCAATGCATGCATGTCAATTTCATGCAAASATACAGCTACCTTTCAATTATTTATTGTGAATATTGAAGATTGTACATGTCATTGTACTGTGAGGTCCAGCAACATTCTAATCACATCAGAAGGGGAGTTCTCATACTTTCTTGTGAAACAGACAAAGGTACAGGCAGAGGATTGTATCGAGACACCACCAACTTTAGTTTCATACTCTTGAACTCTCCAAGGAAGGTTAGAACAAAAATCAAGAGGATGAAAGCAATGATCCACTGTGCACAATTACTGATCACATGAGGCACGAAACCGACATCCTGAGGTGTCCAGTCTTCAGTAGTTTTATTATGTGCTACATCATTCCATTGTTCGTCAGCAATACCTTTACAAARAATACACACAACTGCAGAAAATGATACCAAAAATGCACAGGCAGCTCTTGTGATGTACAAACCAGATGAATTTATACCACACAGCTTCATCTTGTAAGAAATGATAGTTTGAATCCAGCAAAATGCCACTCCACAGAACAGAACCATTGCTGCTCCAATCATATTGACTGTTTTTACTCTTTCATTAGCTTCTGCCTAATAACATCATGAAAAAAAAATTAACAACGACAACTTTGCCAACAAGCTTTAATGGTTATGAACTTCATTATTCACTTATACTAGCATGTATGCCGAAAGTGTTCATTTTACTTTTCTTTGACAGATAAAATAGTTTGGCATACCCAGCTGTGAAAGACTTGCGCTTGTGTTTCATTTTCACATGACTTTTTTTTTAGGTATCATGAGATAGGATAATCATCGAGATAATCATTCTGAGTTAGAAGTTGAGTTGAGTTGAGTTTGATTTAAAATTTATTACTTTTATAGCTCACTTTCAAATATTTAATTGCCCTATGCATAGTCACACGTGATTACAGTGTTTGATTGGTTATTAATTTGTAGATGTCATGTATCAGTRGTAGTTCAAGAGTACACGTGTTAATACTSTTTTATCATAGTACTAGTTCAATAGTTATCATAATTCTTTCCCATCCCACCCTCCCTTATGGTGGGTCAGAMATTTATTCTTGTGGCTAGGTTTTGGTTTACTTCTCATGTGTGAATAAATCTCTATTCTGCCAAACAAACTAGTGTGTGTTTCTTCTTGTTTTATTATTGACATTTAGGGGAATTGTGTTAGCTAAAATATGAAATACCAACTTTATATATCAAAATAATTTTAATACATGCAATAAAACTGTATAGAGTGCACGCCACATAAGTGTGAAACAATTCTTAACTAATAAGCGCCTAATAAGATTTAGTTATCAACTGACTAAGAATTCAGTAAGGCGAAAACAATTAAGACAATTTCCTTAGTCGACATTGTGTTGACCCTAGTGGATTCTTAGTTAGTTGATGACTAAATCTTATTAGTTGTTGATTGTTAAGAATTGTTTCACGCTTTTTTGGCGTGCACTTAGCGCGAGTCTTAGCGTTTTATCAAACGTTTACCTGAAAATTAGCAATTACACAGCACCCTACAGCTGCCAGTGTCCCCAGAGTCATACCCGCTTGGTTCAGCTTGATGATAGATGATCGCGACTCTTCGTTCCAGTCTGCATCGTGTTTGACTTGTAAATATCGCACAAACACTGTCATCAGCAACAAAAAACTGCATATATTAAATAGTTGACCAAATACATTCATATACGGCTGCTTTGCGTTGGTTTCGCCAATGCTTGGAATCCATGGGTAGACATCTTTGTTGATCAATGTCGATGTTAAGTATGCCACTAATACAGCAACAACGCACAAAGATACAAACACAACAGGAAGAATTGCTAGTGTTCGACAACGATGACACATTATAATACTACCATATAGCTAATACGGCTTCCTTGCTGTAAATTTTGCAACATTGTGAAACTACATACACTATACACAGCTTTCAGTTTTGTCCCGGAAGCAACACATCATGAAAGRACAGGGAGTCCAATTTTAAAAAAAGTGTCTGACATCAAAAATTGAATAGTTGGACAGTTTTTATTATTTTTGTTTATCACATTTTTAGGAKATGTACGGAATGTCTGTCAGATTTTTTTGTATCTCYTGTTTTATCATTCAAACTTATAATTTTTACTWAAATAGTTGGGCTGCTCATATTCGTACCCAGGCCCTGTTGAGTCAAATCGAAAAAATGGCGGCAAAGGTTGGTGTTATCATGCGATCATTACTCTAAAATCTACACTGCAATGCAATAGGAATTGTGACAAAAAAMGAAGGCGAGTGAATGTAGTTAGCTTTATTCCTTACTGGGCAAGATTTTAGTGACTAAGATAAGCAAAGAAAGCTCCATGGAATCTGAATCGAGTATTGATGATGTGCCGACGAGTTTTCCATTTCCATTTCAACCGTACGACATCCAGGAAGATTTTATGAAAGAACTKTATCGTGTAATTGCTAAAGGAAATATTGGTATATTTGAAAGCCCGACTGGAACGGTAAGTGATGTTAATGAACTCACAACGACTACGACATCTCAGAGACTGTCTGAGTTTCTGCACAGAAAGCCCAATCCTGATCGACATTAGAGTAGATCTGCCTTTAGTTGAATAAGGTTCTCTAGCGCTATGTTGATAGAGATGCATGCTTTAATTCATTTATGGAGTAAGCAAGGAAGCAGCTTGAGTAGATTTGCACACCAGACTTTATTGCACCTTTCAATCTAAAGCCTGGGCAGGCTGGGCCAGGGGTAAGAATTAGAACAGTATATGTGAATGCACCAGTGTGGCATTTTCCATGTTATGCTGTCCCCAGTGTGGGGGCAAGTGCCAATGAAATCAATCAAATAATGTTTATGAAAGCATATCTTGTGTATGTTGGGTCGTATTTTGAGTCCTGTTTAAAATTTTTCACATATAGACTAACATGTAAAAGTTATAGGATTACAATATCAAGACAGCTACATTTAAATACACTTTTACTGAAATCTCAGACACAAACCGAGTGCTTAATCCAAGGTTGTTTAGACTAAAATATTATCTGTTTATTTTAGGGGAAGTCCTTAAGTCTGATATGTGGTGCATTAACTTGGCTCAAAAACGTTGAAGAACAGATAGAGAAAGAAAGTCTGACCTCACCTGATACAACTTTAGAGTAAGTGTTTAAATCTAATGTTACATACAGTAAGTATTGTTGCTGATCAATGTGAGTATATCTATAAAATAATTAGACGTTAAAAAAAGACACTTTAGCAGGTAATGATTGTGATAAAAAATAAGACACAGTAAACTATACTATTGTTGTGTTTCGTCTTTCCCTGTCCCTTCAATGTCTTTTTGTCTAAATGCAGGAATAAACCAAAAGATAGCAAGTCAAGCAATAGTGGTATGTACACCGCCTAAATTTCATGCACCTACRACTCKCCAAAAAAGTGACAAAAGCTACATGATRGTACAAATTATCCATACTTTGGATTAAAACTTCCATTCTGCTTTAACTGGCTGTTRCAACTTTTTACACTGTACTCAGGATCAATCGAGKAAAGATGATTATAATGTTTTGGCACTATTTTGCTGCTTAATAAATGGTAAAACATTCTGGACATCATTAATTCCATGAATTATTATGTGTATCAAAAAATATAGACTTGCCTGATTGGGTTGTGCAATTTGGAGAAAGAAAAAAGATAGAGGAAAAGAAACAGCAGCTCAAAGTAAGGGTAGACATTAAAAAACTTGTTGACTTTGAAGGCACAAGGTGTTTATTTTTTTCAATTTTTTTTATTCACATTGTAACATAACATTTTGTATATTATAAGAACCAACCTTTTGTTGCTCACTGAAAAACAGAGGATTTAAAATAATAAATTAAAATTGTGATTAATTATTTTAAAATAGGAACAATGTGAAAAACTCAAAAAACAGAATGCTGCACTAGATCAGCTCAGGAAAGAGCCAGGAAAGGGTTTCATAATAAAAGGGAAAAGAAAGGTTTGTAACATGTTATATATGCAATCTGTATTTTGAATACTACTGTATCCTGGTCACGTCAGTTAACATTATTTATTCATTTATTTGTTGTTTTAATTATAAGATATCGAAAACATTTTAGCTTGATGTGACTGTATCAACAAATGAATACAGACTGATGTGAACTATAAAACACACAWTGTATTCTTTATTGAGTTCAGATCAACAATTATCTTGTATGAATCAGTTTAAATCAGATCACTCAGCAAGAAATGAGATAGATGAGACCAAAATCGAAAAAGAAATAGATGAAATTCTGGGAAAGGATCCTGATTCTGATATTATCCTGGCTGACTACAACAGTGATGATCATGGCAGGTTAGTGAAATTTTTCAGTACCAGTTGAAGTGTGAAGCTGTTTGAGACTAGCAGTAAACTAGCTGCAAGCTGTGTCAGTGTAAAAAAAATAGTGAAGTACAACTTACTGACTTTTCAGACGTTTAATCCTTTCATTGGAGTGAAGCTCACTTTCGCGCAGAAACGTTATTGAATCATAAAATTCCACTTTTAGCTGTCAGTCTCTAAACTTCTTCTACATTGTCATGTCAACACGTCTATAAGTATTCAAAAATAAAGATTAAGGGAAAAAAACCTGAGCACCAACATATAATATATTAAGCGAAAAACAGATATCCATAGTTTAATAGTGCCAATTATCATAATTAAATTACATACAAAATAAAATTTTCATTCTTGATTTCACTACACTATGTTTGGTCTTGACGCACAATTAAACTTGTCTAGCTTGTATCTTGTCTGTAAAACTAGTTTCATTTTATTAAACCCTTTCAGTTACAAGATGAACATTGTTCGAAATATAAAAAATTTAAATAAAAAAAAACTTTCTTCTTTTAAACAGCTCAGATGAAGAAGAAGATGAATTCCACTGTACAAAGGTTGGATTGGAATTTACTATAATTAAGGATAATGAAATTCAATATTAACATAGTGCTATTTAAAATAGCTGAGTAAGAACACTTAGAAAATAATGCTTTTATATGGAAGTTTCCACTGTTGGGTAATACAATGCTTTTCACTAAATTCTATATGCGGCAATTCATCCACTTGTCAATGAATTCTTCTTAATTTTGCATTTTCCCATTCCCATTTTCAAAAAAAATAACACTTATACTTACTCGTAGTTTTCTCTTTTTGTGGCCAGCAGTTACAACCAGTTTTTTTTTTATTATTACAACTAGTTTTTTTAGTGTTTTTATTATAATTGAGTCCAATCAATAGAAAAATWAACATCAAGAAAATGAGCAGTTTTAATCGTGATAACTTATTGCTTATCAAGTGCCAACATAAGCTAAAGCATCCTCTGGGCACGAAGTCTGTTAGACCTTGTTCTCGATTCGAAATTCAAAATGGCGGCCGCTAAATTTCTGATTGGTCGAGTGATTCACTTGAACATTCTGATTYGTTGATTAACTTACTGGCCGCCATTTTGAATTTCGAATTGAGAACAAGGTCTAACAGACTTCATGCCCAGGGGTATTTTTTTCTGGGAGGGAGTTGAACGAACGATTTATCAATTTGATAATCAATCCGAAAATGTTGGGGGAGGGGGGGGGGATGTTTATTACCTTACTTAGAAAGGTTACAATATTATTACATGAATTTGTATTTTTTATAAAAAAGGCTTTGATTCAATTGTTACTTTCAACATTGCAATTTTCTTGAGGTTTGACATACTGTAACAGTAATATAAAAAGAAAATGGATCATTTTTTATACAAATGTAACACAAAAGCAATATCATGATCATTATGATCAATGATTCTGACTAATAAAACATTATTTGATTGGTTTTATCTGCAGAACATACCATTTGTTTTATGTACTAGGTCTATTACTGTAGCCGTACTCATTCCCAGTTAGCACAGTTTGCAAGGGAAGTCAAGAAGAGCCCATTTAAGAATACTCGACTGGTCACTCTTGGCTCAAGACAGGTCAGTAGCTCTTACATTTTAGCAAACGTATTATAAAAATTGTAAGTAGTGTCYTGGATTTATTGATATTAGGTCTAGCTCTTGACTAACAACTGACTCTGTGTGGTTTTCTAAACACTGCTTTGTCTACGTTTGTATATATGTTTTTTGACTCCTACGTACAGAGAAATTATTAAACTGTGTGGTTGTTTGCTTTATCCAGAGTTTTTGTATTAATGAAGATGTGAAAAGGTTAAAATCTAACAATAAAYTCAGTGACCGATGTCTGGAGCTGCGTAATAACAAAAGAAAAGGTTGGTCATTGTTTCAAAGTCAAATTATTAAAAGCTATAAGAAAGAGAAATATCCATTAGGGGCATTCTCTAGTACAATAAAACCGCTCATAGAATTTGCACAGTTAATTAACTTTTTAGATGGATGAAAAAAATATAAAAAGGGTCACCACGACCATGGGGTTAGGTATGACATCACTTTTGGTCGAGTTTGTTTTTTGGTCGCACGTCGCGGGTCGTGGATACCAAGTTGCAYGTGTAGGTAGAAAAGTTGTGGGTCCAGATTTTTCATTAAAAGATATATTAAAAAAAACATAAAAGATACATAGAAAAAATATCATTAAAAAACTCATACATAATTAATGAGCTACTAGGCCAATAGAATGAGCCTATTTGGTCACATGCATGGACCTTAATATCTCATCTGATAAAACACTRCTTATTAGTATTCTTTATATAAAGAAAACTAATAAGGGTGACCTTTATCAGATATAAAGGTCCATGACCCTAGCAAAGGTCTCAGGTTTG